TCTATACTGGACAAATATATATTTAACTGGGATGAAACTGTAAGAAATTGGTGCAAACACCAACCACACCCGGTTATGAAGAAGTTAGACCGCTATTTTATGGAACTTTACAAAACACGCTGAAAATTCTAAATTAATCTCCCAGACCTCATGTTCAAAGAACAAAACAGAATAGACATGTTTTTTTTTTTATTGAGATAGCAATCCCTGTAGAATATGAAGATCTTCAAAAATATCAAAATACAAGGATCTTGAAGTGGGATTATATTGTGGATTCCCAGATGAAATTCGGTCTCCAATGAATGACAAACGCAGGAATTAAATATAAGAAATTAAATGAATTTACACAATAATACAATTGGTAATACGGTTAGTAGATCCAGAAACGTAGTTAGTAGCAATAATAATATATATATACAGTCTGGTAAATTCAGTCTCGAAGTAGGACTTCCTTAGAGTCTACGTGCTCGCAGCTGTGTCTTCTACAAGCGGTTACCTCACACTATTACTCTACTTCCAACTCAATCACAATCTCAATCTCTCTGACTGACTCTGGGTATTTAACGGAAGCAGTCCAAGTAACACTCTGGTCGAGTCCACTTGTATGAAAAAAGGGTGGACCCCATAACAGATTATAAAAAGATGTAGCACGTGAAGATATCAATAATTTACTATTGTGGGTGGAGCTCTCGGTTTGATAGGAAAATGTTATGATAGACTCATTGAAGATGTCCCTGGAGGGCCATGAATAATAGAAATAGTGTTCTCACAACTACATACCACACCTTTAAGAAGAGATTTATAAAATATTCGTGCACTCAGCCTGTTTTATTTTGTGTTTATTTTGAAGAAATGTTCAGTGAAAATTTCATGTTGCCATTTCTAACCTTAGGTTTCTGGTTGGGACCCGGAAGGAAATGAGTATACAAGATAAATAAAAGGAAATAATAATAATAATAATAATAATAATAATAATAATATTACAGACCCAAAATATATGTTCTGTGACCAATACATTGAAATATTGATCCCTTTTACTCAGGATCCTCAATACTCACACCAAAAGCCGACACGAGAGGGTAGGTCAGTATATCCATTGGCTATGTCATCACTACGGGAGAAAACCATCTGCAAACTAGTATGAACATCATCCTCAAACTGTTACTGTACCCTGGGATTTTTATATCACTACAGATCGAAAAATACAACCAAATCGATCAATAAAATTGTACACATCGATAGATATGAGCACAGCAAATGACAAAAAACATTTCTGCGAAAGTGTTTGAAAAACTAAGCGAATGTAATTTTTCTGGAGATAGAAATAAAAATTCTTAGTGCATCATCTCTCTAGTAAATCTCTAATGTGTTTCTAACAATCTCAGCCCGTATGCTATTAAATGGTTGCACCATTCCATTTTTTTCCTTTCTGTTAATGGATATCGGCTTTTTAATTAAGTGGTAACAAAAGAATACCATCTTTAGCTTGTCTTAGATCATTGCTTATGACCAGGCACGTGATTATGATTATAAAATGTAGGTCAACATATATATATATATATATATATATATATATATATATATAGAAAAGTTGCAAATTAAAAAAAATAATAATGTACTTTTATGAAAGTATTTATTTATTTGTATATATATTTGATATTTCAGATTGGCCTCAATCTTTCTTCAGAAATAACTGTTTGTGTACAAGTAGCGTCCGTCGCGAGAGGCGGACGTCACGTGATATGGAACGAATATTCCTAACTTCAATCTAACTGTAATAATATCTTAGATGTTGTTTACAAAAAATAAAAAAAATAAATAAAATAAGAAATAAAAAAAAATGTTTTAACAATATCTAAAAAATGTTTAACAATTGAAATATTTATAAAGATTTAAAATACCCAAGTCTTTATTTAACCCTAGTTTATATGTACTTAATTTTAAAATCCAGTATTCTTTTTATATTTTGCATGTGTATGTAAGAAAAATCTGAAATCAGAATCTATCAATAAACATTTACAGTTTTCTAATGAGTGTCCTGATTGATTAAAGTGTTGGGGGAATAAGGATCGTTTTGACGTATCGTTTGTTTAGGATTGTTGAAGCGAAATCTATTTTTTTAATTTGCAACTTTTTCTATATACATATTAAGAAAGTATACGTGGCTTCTCATTATGTATATATGCTATATATATATATATATATATATATATATATATATATATATATATATATATATATATATTAAGAAAATGGACAAAGTCCGACAATTTATTTATTAAAGACATTTTTTTTATGTTTAACGTTCTTTTATAGATACAAGTATTTAAGTAAATGCTCTGTTTATAATAAACAGTATTAAATAACATTTACCGGCCTGGATGTCCGAGAAATTTTCATAGAAATTGTGGCCGAAAGGTTAGGCACGTCAGCGTAAATGACGGTTTCGTATAGGATGCAGGTTCGAATCCTATCAAAGGGCGAATATTTTCTATGAAAATTTCTCGGACATTCAGGCCGGTAAATGTTATTTAATACTGTTTATTATAAACAGAGCATTTACTTAAATACTTGTATCTATAAAAAGAACGTTAAACATAAAAAAAATGTCTTTAATAAATATATATATATATATATTTAAATAATCATTTAAGATGATACGTATTTTAGTTGGCCAATAGACAAAAAAGAATCCCAATAAGAAAAGAATTAAAAATAGAATTTTCGAACACACCTGTTTCTTCATCAAGAAAAATAAATTTATGATGCCCTCCCCCTTTTTTTTGGGGGGGGAGGGAGAAAAAAACAATTGAACGAAGTTAGAATGAGCATGTGTAGATTGGACGGTAGAACCTTGAATTGCAAATAGATTATTCTTATGAGTTATTCTTTACAGTTTTAAAGTGGCGAGGAAATGTAATGTCATTAATATTTATATGATTTCCTAACCCCTGTCTTGCATAAAATGAAATAAAAATACATAGAAATAAGTAAATAATAATTACGCATAAAGCATCAGCGACAACAAAATTAATTCAATTTCGTTTGATACGCCAAACACAGACGCCATTTTCCTATACCATAATTTAGAATATTTTCGAGCGTTTACTAAAACAAATTTTAAACGCATGACGTTATTTTTCTGCACGTTACTAAATAATATTTCTGCACTTGGTTCGATAAAACTCCTCAAGGACGAAATCGCGCTGACGTATGTTTTTCTCCTGCAAGTTTTTTCATTAATATATATATATATATATATATATATATATATATATATATATATATATATATATATATATATATATATATATATGTGTGTGTGCGTGTATTTTGCGTGTGTGTTTTGTAAAGGTTGATTGATCAATGTATTAAGCAGAAATATTACCTACAGTCGTTGTTTACGATATCCGTTTCCTTCTGGTAAAGTGCTAATAAATAATTCACAGATATGACCATTTTTTCTCATTCCTCAGGTTGCCTTCTCTTAAATTGTGTGAAAATCAACAGGTGCCAAATACAAAAAGAATTCAAAACTTGCCCGATGCAAGAAATTACGATTTTCTTGAATTGCGATAAAATCCTACATTTGCCTATGAAGAGATTCACTTCGGATATTTTCAATATTTTCTTAGCATAGCGTTAGAAGGTACAAGGCCATATATCTAAGGCGCACGGCGATGTTTAAAATTATCGTATAAAAAAAATGTTCTGTGATATGACACTCGAAATATTCCACTGATCTCATGTAGAACCCATTTATCGAGATTCTTCGCCTTACAAATTCTCTTGAGATGATACGATATTTCTGAAATGATGACAGACAATTCTAACACATTTCTCTGACACTTTAAAGTGGGTTTTAGTCTTTTCATGGTGTTAGCTGACAATTGCAGAAGGACGTCCTTCATCACCATGATATTCAAGATACGTATCCCCACTGTGGAATTTCGGAAACCAATGCTATACTGTCCGGTTACAATGGAACCTTCACCATGTTGTTAGGTCCGAATATCGGATCACACACTCAAACATTAAAATTGTCAGTGTTATATTCATTTTTCTCTGATTTAGACGGCAATTTATTCGACGCACCCTGTTTATACGTGCACGCATGTGCACACACACACGCGCACACGCGCACACACATATATATATGAAGAAATATAGTCTTAAAATGTTGTATATTTATGGGATAAAGTGCTCAATATCAGAGATAGAACGTGTGTAAATATAAAAGTGAACATAGAAATCAACACTTAGAGGCGACAGTCTGTTTCATGCAAGACGTAATCGTCAGGTGGCCTGACGATTATGTCTTGCATGAAAACAGACGTCACTTATATATACATACACACATATATAGGCAGACATACGCATTTGGAAACGTATATAGACATTTAATTACAAACAGCAACTCAAAATATTACACACGCACACACACATATATATATATATATATATATATTTAAATAAGTTATATATATTTTCTAAATTTTCATTCACATATGAATGCATAAAGCACATACTTACTGGTATATCAGTTAACATATGCAAAATTTGTTAAAAGCTTTTTTGATGAATTTAGACATCTTTTAATTTTTCTATTTTATTAATGTGTATTTGCTTAAAGCAATATATCGTCTAATGCTTTTGAAACTGGAATTTAAGTGATTCTCCTAACTTTTTCATATCTCTAATTTAAGAGGGTACACAAACAAACAAACAGAAAACATTCTGTGGTTCCTCATTCTTTTTCGACTGATTCAGTTCAACTGATTAAGAAACGCTCACTTGTTAGTATATTTTAAAAAAACAAAACATATCTCTGCTCAAACGAGGCTCGGTGAGCATAGAGTTGATACATTGGTTAATAATAAATCTCATTTTGTTGTTTTTGACCCTTGTTTTCAATTTCGGACGCTGTTATAGCGGGAAATAAAAAAAAAATCTAACGATCTCCAACCAGCTGATTTTTGCGTGATATAACTTTGTGAAAGTAACTCGACATATTCCCTCCTCTCTTTACTTCGCTTTCTCCTCCACCTCGCTTTTTTTTTTTTCTCTCTTGATTATCTTTCTATTCATTTCCCCCTCCGGCTCATCTCTTTTCTCCTCTCCAGTCATTTCATTCTTCTCTTTCTCCCCTCCCCACCCATTTCTTCTTTTTCACATCTCCTTCTACGCCTCCTCATTATAATAGGCACCATAGCAATTAAAGCTGTTTATGTATAGAGTAGCGAAGGCGTTAGAATGAGATAATGAGCGATTTTGTCTCGATCTCTTTCTGTCTGCTATGAGAATCAGGTTAAATTTTCCTTATCTCTATTAAAATTCTGGTAATTGTATTTATAAACTATTTGGTTATTCTAACAATTACGTTATTTCTCGTTCATTCTTCATTCGTTCATTCCTTTCCTTTTCGATTTACCCAAATAGATATTACTAAGAAAGTAAAATTATTAATAATATTCTAAAAAAGATTACCACCGCTGCCGCCTTCACTACCAGTAAAAAGATAAAATGGCTGTCTAAGAATAAAAAAATAGCTTAAATATTATACACGCACTACGGCATTCGATGTCATAAAACATCCGACCTCCTTTAAAATAAATCCTCGACCCTTTTCTATGTAAATTTATGGGTTGTTATTACTTACTCAAGTGATGAGCAGGTAGTGTAACGGTTCTTTCTTTCTATGTGCCCTGTCATTTCAGGCTCTCCACCTACCTCTATCCCTTGCAGCTCTCAACAGGTTCCTTCCCTCTGTCACCTCCCCGAGACCACGTTCTTTCATCCATTTGCTTACGTCCGCCAGGTATGTCAGACGTTGTTTTCCCTTGTCTCTCTTTCCCTCTATTCGAACCGTGAGTATCAGATTCTCCAGGTCCTTCTCTCAGTCGTTGTAATTTTCGGTTTACCATCCCCAAAGAAGGTTAACAGTATAGTTTTCATTTAAAGGGATTCCTGAATAACCTGATTTTATTTTAGAAGGGTCGATAATGAGGGAATTAAATCCCTTGAATAAGGAAGAAAGGGAAATGATTATTATTTTTATTTTTTTTTATGTGTCATGTCCTTTCAGGACGTAGGCGATGAAGACTCTACACTTTCATCTATCCCTTGAAGCTCTCAACAAGTTCCTTCGCTTTGATTCCTCTCCAAGACCACGTTTTATCATCCATTTGCTTAAGTCCGCCAGATGTGTCAGGCGTTGTTTTACCTCGTCTCTCTTTCCCTCTATTCGACCCGTGAGTATCAGATTCTCCAGACCCTCCTTCCTTCCTTATTATGTGTCCCAGAAACTTAGGCTGTCTCTTCCTGATGGTAAGTATAAGCCTCCTCCTCGTTTGCGTTCCCTCATTGTTGCTCACACGCTCGGTCCATGATATTCTTAGGTTCCTTCTTTAGAACGACGTCTCCGTTGCCTCGAGTCTCTTCTTCATCTTTAAGGAAATCATTCAACATTCGCTGACGTAAATAAGAATAGATGTCACGTAACAGCTCAGTATACATTTCTTCGTTACCAAAGAAATCCTCCTATCTCGCGATACTCTGGCTAGCTTTTGGAATGCGTCCTTGGCCATCCCAAGACGTCTACGGATCTCAGTGACACAAGTACCATCCTCTGGCAAGACGGGTCCCAGATAGTTAAATTTCCGAGTCTACTTGATTCTAGTGTTCACGACCTGCATATCGCATTTCAGTCTCATCCTTTTACTGATGGCCATGCACCCATGTCTTCTTGTAGTTTATGCTTAGTCCCTTCTTCTCACTCTCCGTCGCTACCTTCTGTAGGAGATTTTGTCATTTCTTTTCCGTGTCTGCTATCAGTACTCTTTCATATGCGTATCTTATGTTGTTAAGATTGTGGCCGTCAATGCTAAGTCGCGGTAGGGTTTCCAGTTCTCTCAGGATTGCCGCGCTGTATAGGTTGAATAGGTCCGGTGAGAAGACGCATCCTTGCCTTACGCCACTTTCTATTTTTTTGTATATTATCTGAACTCGTTCTCTATGCACATGCATGCTTTTTGCTGCTGTTCTTGATTATTCTGATACCTTTCTCGAATATATCAAGTTTGCTGAGCAGTTTGAGCAGATCCTTGTGGCGTACGTTGTCGAAGGCATTTGCATTGTCTACAAAGCATAGATACACGTCCTTCTGCATATATATATATATATATATATATATATATATATATATATATATATATATATATATATATATATATATATATATCTCTTTCTGATAACATTGTGAGCATGAATATCGTGTTCCTTGTTCCGACGTCTTTAACGAATCCGCATTGCTCTCATCCTATCTATAACCTGATTTTTTGCTGCGCGCTCTATTCATAAAAGTAAAATCAGCGAGCCTTGTTCAAATTCCAACCTAGTCTGTTGCGTTCACTTTCGCAAAAAATAATTCCCTTACGAAAAGTCTTGAATTCATCAGTTCTTTTTTCTCAAGCTATGGGTTAAATAGACAGGAATATTTAAACTTGGGTGGTATCGAGTCGAAGAGAATAAAACTCCTAATTCATATCAGTGGAAAAGATAAGGGAAAAGAAACTACAATATTAACTTTTCACAAATTAAGTGCAATTCAAGTGAAATGTTAAACTAACAATGTGGATAGTTATGATCGCCTACGTCCAGGAGTGATATGGTATTAAGTAAATAAAAAGATTTATCAAAGTGTAGTAGACGTGTGCTATACCAATTTTCTGCAGATTAAATAGGTGTGACATGTAAGTCAACAAATACAATATGCCGAGAAAACTATCATCAAATAGGGTGCATAAAGATCTGTAAGTAAATCGCATTTTTTTTTCCTTTTCACTAGATATAGAAAAAGATGGAAAAATTGATTGCCAGCGAAGTCAAAACAAAGTGTGGCTATACTTCCATGACAAAGCGTTCTCCTTCCAGGTTGATGTCATCAACACGAAGCAAAGTTAATACTTCCGCGGCAGCAATGATCCGCCTTTTCTTAAAGATGGACTCAATATGGATTACAGTCGGTTATAATCAAATAAAAAGTAACGACTTGGTATTTCTTTACGCTAAAGGATACAATTTGATAGCCTATGCCAGTTTAAGCGGTTCTTGAGGTTATATATATATATAAAACCTTGTCTGAATTTGTTCTTTATATTAAACTTAATTTAATATAAGACCAATCAAGCTATAGAGTTGATATTAAAATTGTCATGATGATTGTGAGATGCAATATGAATGTAAGAGGAGGCTGTAAGTTAATACAAAGGTGGGCAGCTAACGATTGATTTTTATGAATGATTACATTTTGAGAGAAGCGCACATACTGGAGTATTTTTCACAAAGTAGCACTTTTCCCAAGAAGTGATGTCAGATCTGGGCTGGCGATGCTTCTTTCTATCTTACGTGATCTTATGTCTTAATTTCCAATCTGCTATCTCTTTTCCACAGATGCAAAGCCATCGGTAATCTGTAGATCAAACGTTCGGATGGGCTCAACCTTTTAGCTGCAATAGTCCAAATCGTTACAGCTTGGAGATACAATGCCACATCAACGGAGTCGAATCCCACACATTTCCTCTTCATTTTAAACTGAAGAAAATATTTCCACTCCGAAGTGCATTCCCAAGAACAACCATTTCGTAAAACATTATTCTTTGTTGTTGCTACTCTGAGCCGTTAACCATATCCTCTTCAAAAGTCAATCGACATCTTTATTCTACATCGGAATAATTATTATTTCCTCTTCCCCGTCCTGCAGCGAGGCCTGTGTACAGGAAGTTTTGAGGAATGCAGAAGCACCTCTTAATTGCTGTTGTTACCAGGTCTACCCTGACCCAGTGGGGTAACAGGTATTAGGGTCCCATCTAAAGTTAACAAAAATTTCCAGAAAAATATATTTTTTTTTTAAATTAACAATTAACAGAAATACATTTTTTATTAAAAAACTATCACCGAGATATTCTTGAATAAAGAAATATTACCAGCAATACATTTGTGTAAAATAAATAATTAATGCTCCCCCGAAAATAAAATTTCAGCATTAAATGAACTATAAGGTGTTGATATGCCGTTAAACAATGAAATTTTCTATTCCATTCAATTCAAACATATAATTCAGTCTTGTCATTTTGCTGAATGTAGATTTTGTCTTAAGTGTCTACTGAGTCATGTAGTGGATGAAGCTTCGTATAGAAAAAGAAACAATGTACTGTATCAGAAAAGAAGCAACGCACTGTATTAGAAATTATGTAGCGACCAGAAATATCCTTTTTTTAAAGGATCAATTTAAATCTTTCTCCTTCTACCCGCATGTCTAGCATAACTGTTATTTCGTTTTGAAGCCAATATTACAGAAAACATTACCCACGCTTAACTTTATAATTAAAAAAAAAATATTTTCTGGAGCCGCTTATGGTAATATAAACCACCTTCAAGTAAAACACGTTTCCATGTCGATTTTAATCTAGCTTTTTTTTCTTTCTTTTTTTTTAAAAAGATTTCAGTTTAATTCGTTATTTCTCTATTATTTAATGATTTATAGACGAACCTTCCAGGTTACTTTTAATGGTACCAGTTGAGGTACTTTTAGTCAAGTTACTGTATCTATTACGTCTTCTGTCAGTATTTCCAGGAAGACACTGGAATCGAATCATTACTCGATAAATTGATTGGTGTCATAAAGCTCCATCTGTCCATACATAAATTTCTTAATAATTACATTTTACTTGATGACTATCAATGGTGTTGGGTAGGATTCTATCAATTTACAGCTATACTGGAGAAGAGTCCATTGTAGTGGCGTAAACAAGAAAAACAATTAAATTATAAGATACGTGGACAAGTCACGTGATTTATTCTTGCTTTAAAAATAGGATAATATTCAGGCGTTTCACAAGGTTATTGTTAGAATAGTTCAATTCCAAACACTACAAGGAAGTTGCAATCTTAATCGAATCACAGAGACTCCCTTCTATGAAAATACATTATTATTTAAATTTGACAGACAAGTGTAGGAAACGAAAAACCGCTTCCCAACATATATGGTCGGTGTGTTGGCTACGAAAAAATCACACTGAGTAATTTTGCACATTTTGGTTCAAGGCCTAATCTAACAAATGGACAATATTGCTTTTGCAAGATTTTAACAATTTTGCTGTTATACTCGACATATATATATATATATATATATATATATATATATATATATATATATATATATATTTGGTTGGATA